GTTTGTCCTTTTCCTTAGGAGCTGGAATAAATGTCTTGACGAGTCTTCCCTCGACATATGCATTCGATAGATCTTCGGTGGAATTAAAAAGTTGTCCATTGTACAACAACTTTTCTATGCGCCATTTTGACGAGTTGCTTCCCGCGTGATTCAAATAAAATTCAAAGTTTAAAGGGTGTAAGTAAAAAGCTACATTATAACGGGCCAAAGCGTACCAATTATCTCTCGTATCACTAGTTAAACCTAGTGGTGCGGACAAGTTTGGAATTAAGCACTTATCAGTACAGTTGACAATAGTGTACCCATCATAACTCTCATTCAAAAGACGATGGAGTTTTATACCCATTGGTAGAACGATCTCATTGTGGATTACTAGTTCTTCTTGTGGTGAAAACGCCATTCTTGCGTCGAAGTTGATAGGATAAGACCGACCGTCTACTCTCAGCAGCTCGTGTTTATTCGGTGCAGATACTGGGTCAACAAGGTATTCCTCGACTATTGGGGGCTGAGCCGCTCCTTTGAATACCACAACAATAGCCTGTCTCTCTGGCTTTTCTTTGCCTTCATCCAAATAAGCCAAGGCTGCATCTTTAGACGGCGGGTAGAACTTGATAAGAGCGATGACATTGTCGCTGAGTTGACCTTCTTTGCTCGATTTTAGTTGGAGTGACTTGACAGAGTGCATGTATTTGTACACTTTGTTCATCTCGTCTGGTGTCAAATCGTCGAACAGACCAGTCGAAGATGATATTTTATTACTAATACTTGGATGTGAGCTATGAACACCACAAACTTGAGCTTGGGAGGTCTTCGTGTTTTTGTGACTGCTACCATCATCTTTAGTTGCCGTGACAATAAGTGCAATAAGTAAACMGAGGCTTAGTACGATKAAAAACAATGCTAMCCATTTCCATAAAGATGATGCTTCTGCCATCTGATTTTTAGAAAAATAATACGAATGCTTCGTACCAATTTGAACGAAGCCTACGTTTCAAAGTTTCGTAATCCAATAACGTGGCTGGGCGACAYWGTTGACACGAGGGATCAATTGAGAATCATATCATCCTTTTGTCAYATAATCTTTGTTATGTTAAACAATACACACCTGGAGTGTGTTACCCTATTTCGTGACCTTTTTTGTACCTCAAAACAAAAACATTACTAACTTCATGTATATTTCTATGTTCTTGCCTCATTGAAACTTCCAAGAGTCTATCATGGATCATGGGTTAACATAGGTCCAAAACTAAAATATCTGTATAGGAAATAACAACGGCAAGTTTGTGGCCAAAGAGAATGTAAATTAATACTTTATACTGGATTCTATTTCTGGACTCATACATGCATGACCGCGTATGATTCCGTGATATCCAAGATGGCAGCGATATCACCTTTATGGAAGTGGGTCGCGTTGTTTTTTATTTTACTCAGCCTTGGTTTGCTCATTGCACTTATCGTTGTTGCAACCAAAGAAAGTAGAGGTCAGGAAATCACGAAAACTTCCCAATTTCAAGTTTGCAAAGCGCGTGATTCGATAGCACGCGCAACTAAAATATCTTCTTCACCTGGTCTCTTCGACGACTTGACACCAGACGAGATGAACAAAGTCCGCAGCTACATGCACTCTGTCAAGTCACTTAAATTAAAATCAAACAAAGAAGGTCAACTCAGCGACAATGTTATCGCTCTTATTAAGTTCTACCCGCCGTCTAAAGATGCRGCCTTGGCKTAYTTGGATGAAGGCAAAGAAAAGCCAGAGAGACAGGCTATTGTTGTGATATTCAAAGGAGCGGCTCAGCCYCCGATAGTCGAAGAATACCTTGTTGGCCCAGTATCTGCACCGAGTAAGCACGAGCTGTTAAAAGTAGACGGCCGGTCGTACCCTATCAACTTCAACGCAAGGCCAGGATTTGCACTGAGAGAAGAAATTGCTATTTACAATGACATCCTTTTACCAATGGGTATAAAACTCCATCGTCTCTTGTATGAGAGTTATGACGGGTACACTATTGCCAATTGCACTGATAAGTGCTTGAATTGTCTTTTCTCGGCTCCCTTTGGATTCACTAGCGATACAAGAGAAAACTGGTATTTTCTATTTCGTAACGAAATAGCTGTATATTCGCACCCTTTGAACTTTGAATTTTACTTGAATCATGCTGGTAGCAACTC